AAAAAAAAAAAAAAAAAAAATCCAGAGGAGGACAGAAATAAAACTGGGCATCCTGGATTTCTGTAATTGAACTTCTCTCCTGTTTTGCTTTTCACATTTTTGGTAGGCATTGCAAGTCTTTGGGAAATCTTTTTCAAGAGTTGCAGGGAATTCTCACCAATTTGAAAGTGATTACTTCTTATTATAGTATGAATAGCATATGACCTAAAGATGTCTCCACTAAATAAACACAGAGTTTTTGTTTTATTTTGTTTTGTTTTATTTTGTTTGAGATAGAATCTCACTTTGTTGGCCAGGATGGAGTGCGGTGGCACAAACACAGCTCACTGCAGCCTTGAGCTCCTGGGCTCAAGCAATCTTCTTGCCTCAGCTTCCCAAGTAGCTGGGACCACAGGCACATGCCACCATGCTTGGCTAATTTTTTTTCTTTCTTTTTTTTTTTTTTTTTTTAGAGACGGGGTCTTGCCAAGTTGTCCTGGCTGGTTTTCAAGCTCCTGAGCTCAAGCTGTGCTAGCCTAGCTTGTGTTAGCCTAACTGACGCCATCTTAGCTGTGAGCCTGACAAGCCTCATCTTAGCTTCTCCCTCCCTGCCACAGCCCCCTCAGGTGCATTACTGGGTCACTCTGTACTCAAAGCCCTGAACCGCTGAGGTTTGGGTCACGCTGTTGTTTTCAGTCCTGTAACCACTGTAATTACATTGGCTTGGTGAGCCTACCTGCTATTGTGAACACCCTACCCCCTTGGTGATTGATAGCATAGAAAGTACCCCCTGCTACTCCCCTTGGTAGCCAACAATTCTGGGAACCTTCTGCCTCCTGGTTATCAGCTACCTCCTACTAACTTGCTTGTTCTGCTTCTGTAAAATTCCTCTTTGCCACCCCCCTTCTCTAAGCAAGTTATAAAAAGGAATCAAGCCCCTTCTTCGGGGCCAAGAGAATTTTGAACATTAGCCATCTCTCGGTCGCTGGCAATAAAAGACTCCTGATTCAATCTCAGAGCCTGGTGCTTTCCTTACAACTCGCTCGGTTACAACAAAGCAATCCTCCCGCCTTGGACTCCCAAAGTGCTGGGATCACAAGCGTGAGGCGCCATGCATGGCTGAGAGTTTTGGAGATCAAATAAAGTGACAAGTTCAGGAAAAGTGAAAAAGTGTCAAGTATGCTAAATTAAATGTAAGGATATATTATATATAAATTAAAGTATATTTTAAATAAAATATGAAGTGTCCATTCACATTTATTAATCATTATGAAACAATTCATTTCTATCTCTGAAAGGACATCTCCTTATTAATATTTTTATATACTACTCCTTGTTACTCTATGGGCTTAGTAATAAGAAGAAACTCCCTTTACTTCAAAAAACAAGATCATTTTGAGCCTTTTCACAAATGCAGAATGGTGTTCCCTTTCATTATAGGCAAAAATATCTTCTAGACTCTCTCAATTCAATCCAGACACAGTAAAACCTAGTCTGAAATCCATGAGTTTAACAATGGTATTTTTCATGATGTTTAGGTTCCTTTAATTTAGTTTTCAAATTACAGTTTCATACTGATTTGAATCATCATTACGATATCAAATGGCTTAAGAAAAGAAATTGTTATGCTTACCATTTAAATCTTTAAACCCCACACTGTAGTTAAATTCAGCTCTGGGCGGTTTAGGGTCAGGAGGAGGGAGAGTGTCAACTCCTAAACTCTGTGAAAAAAGATCCCCCCTCAAAGTTATTCACGATACAAACATTTCTGTAGCACATTTTAATCAGCGAGTCAAAAACCATTTATTATTTACACATTTTCTCTTTCAGTATGTTCTCTGAAAACCATATTGTTTCTTGAAAATGTTTTATGTAGTTTTTTCCCCTATAGAAAATTACGGCTTAAAAATATTCTAGAAGGAAGATCTTGAAACAGAATACGGCAATTGAGAGCAATGAGAATGAGGTAGTTAATTTTTATAAGGAACAAATAATTTCTTGTAATGGTGAACACACACACACACGCACACGCACACACACACATATATATAATTCTATAAGGATGTAAGGAATGATATCAAAGAAGTATCCAGTTACTCGGAAGAGAAAAGCTGTTTGACGATGCAGTCTGTCACAGCAAAATGTTTCCTTAGCCTAAAATCTTGAGAACCTACCTGTTTGGCAGGGCTATTTAGCCAAGCAAGCCTATGACTGACTACAACCACTTGGGCAAAACAAAGAAATAGCTAAAACCAAAAGGGCTTTGCATGAAGGCAGGTCCAAGAGTCTCAAAGGCGCCTCTTTCCTATTATTTTTATTTTTTAAATAAAAATGAGAGGGGCAGGGGTCTTACTATGTTACCCAGGCTGGTCTTTCGAAAAAAAAAGAAAAGAAAGGAGGGAAGGAAGGAAGGAAGGAAGGGAGGAAGGGAGGGAGGGAGGGAGGGAGGGAGGGAGGGAAGGAGAAATGTGGCTGCCATCCTAACATCTTTTAATCAACACCCTTTCCTCTAAGCCTACTGTCTTATGTCTTATCCCTTCTTTCATAGAATATAAACCTTTCTAAATCTTACTGGGAATATAAAGTAGATGCTAGCTAGAACTGGTTTATTTTTAATTTTAATTTTAATTTTTTTGAGGAGTCTCACTCTGTCACCCAGACTGTAGTGCAAAGGCACAGTCTCGGCTCACTGCAACCTCCGCCTCCTGGGTTCAGGTGATTCTCCTGCCTCAGCCTCCAGAGTAGCTGGGATTACAAGCGCCTGCCACCATGCCCAGCTAATTTTTGTATTTTTAGTAGAGATGGGGTTTCATCAGTTGGCCAGGCTGGTCTCGAACTCCTGACCTTGTGATCTGCCCACCTTGGCCTCCCAAAGTGTTGGGATTACAGGCATGAGCCACTGCACCCAGCCTAGAATTGGTTTATTTTTCCTAAAATAAATAGTCTTCCAAAACACAGACTATTCATTTATTTTTTTAGAAAGCTTTTGAAGACCTCTATCTTATTTAGGGATATTGGCTTCTTCTTCTTCTGAATAAAATATCAATATTTCATTCAGAAAAGTGATGAGTTGATTACCCTGTCAATCAAAGATGCCTTTATGAGCACACTATAAGACACTCTAAGCTCACCTGACTGTAACCTGGCTGAGGGGCCCCTGGGTTAGCAGCTGCCGGGCCGTAGTGGTACCGACAGTAGGGCTCAGTAGCCTCTGAGTCAATCTGATCTTGATGCTAGGAGCTTTTTTCTCAGTCTATGGCTGAGTGGCTTTCACGTTCCTTTGAGGGTCCTAAGTTCTTACAGGCTAATCATGAGACCACCAAAATTCCCACTTAGTTGTTTAAAATGTAGCATTTCCTCAAGAGTTGGTAAAAGTCTTTACTAAAGATAATATCCAGCCTGGGCAACATAGCGAGATCTCTTCTCTGCAAAGAAAATTAGCCAGGTGTGGTGGCATGCACCTGTAGTCCCTGCTACTTCGGAGGCTGAGGCCAGAGGATCACTTGAGCCCAAGAGGTTGAGGCTGCAGTGAACTGTGATTGTGCCACTGCATTTCAGCCTAAGCAACAGAGTGAGACTCTGTCTCAAAAAAAATCAAACAAAGGTAATATTTTCCTGTGAGTCTTCATAAAGGTAACCACAGGGAAATGGCTTAGGCTGATTGTAGGGGGGTAAGCTTGGGGGTAAATTTCTCTATTGGTACGTTTGGAGACTATGAGCTTGATGTATGTCTGACCAATTTATTAACTGAACTCAAAAAAGTGTTGTCTGGAACAAGCTTTATTTTTTAACCCGTCATTGTTACATCGGAAATATATAATGTTGCCAATCTTCAGGGTTTAAAGGAGACAGCTCCCTTGTCATATTATCATCAAATTCTGCAACTCTATTTTTTTTTCTAATTTGCCAGTTAAAAAGGAAAGTTTACCTGGGTCAGAAGATCCATTTCTCCCAGCAAAGTGCTGAACATTTGGTCTATGTCTTCACTTGACTCACCCATCTGAAAAAGAAAGAAACCGAGATATTAGCAGTCTCATAAAAGCCTGATCCTGGGATACTCTTTGCATCCCTCTCTTTCCCCCAAGAGCCCATCCATGGGTAGCTAAGTTGGGAGAGAAATATATTGAGAAGAAGGCTCATTTTAGCCTGAAATTCCACGCCTGACTTCTATCCAATCTACTTGGTCCAAGATTGTGCCAAACCTTGAGAATTACCTCAGAGCCACAATCTGATTTTTCCAGACTAAATTAGTCTTCTTGGAATCAAAGAAACAGGCTGGGTGCGGTCACTCATGCCTGTAACTCCAGCACTTTGTGAGGCTGAGAAGGCGGATCACTTGAGGCCAAGAGTTTGAGAACAGCCTGGCCAATATGGTGAAAACCCGTCTCTACCAAAATACAAAAATTAGCTGGGTGTGGTGGCATGCACCTGTAATCCCAGCTACTTGGGAGGCTGAGGCAGGAGAATTGCTTGAACCTGGGAAGTGGAGGTTGCACTGAGCCAAGATTGCACCACTGCACTCCAGCCTGGCAACAGAGTGAGACTCTGTCTCAAAAAAACAAAGCAAAACAAAACAAAAACACAACAACAACCTTACACGAAAACGATGTCAGGAGTGATTAAGTGTATTTACCCAATAATTCCCTGCTTTCAAAAGATATCTCTGAAATAATAGATTTTAGTACATTTATTTAGTAGTACTGGTTGACAAACACTTGCGGCTAAAATGGCCACCCTATCAAGTGAAAAGAAATAGAAAGAAAACGTTTTTCACCTTTTAACCTTTCTTTGCCTAAACCAAATGAAGCAATTGCCAAAGAAGAGGAAAAGTTTGTGACAAAATAGGGTGGGACACACTGTGAGGCACAACTGGCTGCTGTTTCCTGACATCTTTGGCAAGGCTGAACTGGGAAGTTAGGAGAGATTACTAGACCTTTGGCCACTAACTGGCAGTATGTAACCTGGCAAAGGTAATCAACTGTCTCACCTGTAACTTGAGAAATTTGCCGCAGACCATTTCTAAGGGCATTTCTTTTCTTTTTTTTTTTTCCTTGAGATGGAGTCGTGCTCCATCATCCAGGCTGGAGTGCAGTGGTGTGATCTCGGCTCACCGTACCCTCCGCCTCCCAGGTTAAAGCAATTCTCCTGCCTCAGTTGCCTGAGGAGCTGGGATGATAGGCACCTGCCACCACACCTGGCTAATTTTTAGTACAGATAGGGTTTCATCATGTTGGCTAGGCTGGTGATGAACTTCTGACCTCAGGTGACCCACCCAACCGTGGGCTCCCAAAGTGCTGGGATTATGGGCGTGATCCACCGCGCCCGCCTCTGAGAACATTTCAAAATGCTCTAAAACACTGTAAGATGAATGCCAATTACAGCTCAAACTAAGAAGCCTGGTGGGTGTAGAGAATCAGTATGCATTATTCAAGCCAAATCACAACATTTACTTGAATTATGTGCAAGCATGTATTTGTGTCTTATCCTTTTTATATGGAAATTTAAAATATGCACAAAAGCAGAGAGAATAATGATTTTCCTGTATACACTGTCCAGCTTTAATAATTTTCAACTAGACTGATCCTTTTCTATCTTCCTACACTAGATAATTTAAAGCAAATATTATTTTTCCAAAAATATTTCAGAATTAAGTGCTAAAAGATAAAGATACTTTCTTCTTCTTCTTTTGTTTTTTTGAGATGGAGTCTTGCTCTTGTTGCCAGGCTGCAGTGCAGTGCTGCGATCTTGACTCACTGCGACCTCTGCCACCTGGGTTCAAGCAACTCTCGTGCCTCAGCCTCCTGAGTAGCTAGAATTACAGGCATGCCCCACCACCCCTGGCTAATTTTTGTATTTTTAGTAGAGACGGAGTTTCGCCATGTTGGCCAGGTTGGTCTGAAACTCCTGACCTCAGGTGATCCGCCTGCCTCAGCCTCTCAAAGTGCTGGGATTACAGGCATGAGCCACTGCACCTGGCTGATATACTTTTCTAAATCATAACCGTAATCCTATTATCTCTTCATATGCGTGTATCTAAAATAAAGCACTTGGCTGAAATAGGCCAAGTCGAGGCACACCTATCTTTCCTTGAAAAAATTATCTTGAAAACTTATAGTTTACCCTTCAAGTGACTTTAATACTTTAGCAGTCACACATTTTTATTTTTAATAGCTCTAGCTAGTCTGGTGTCTTAGTCTCCATATTAAATATGTCCATGAAACAAACTCTGTCATACTAACTTTGCCTTCTTAAAAATGACTCAAATGATTTTCTTTTCTTCTTTTTCTTCTTTTTTTCTTTTTCGAGACGGAGACTCACTCTATCACCCAGGCTGGAGTACAATGGTATGATCTTCCCGGGGTCCAGCAATTCTCCTGCCTCAGCCTCCTGAGTAACTGGGATTACAGGCGCCCGCCAACACGCCTGGCTAATTTTTGTATTTTTAGTAGACATGAGGTTTCATGATATTGGCCAGGCTGGTCTTGAACTCCTGATCTCAAGTGATCTGCTTGCCTGGGCCTCCCAAAGTGCTGGGATTACAGGCATGAGCCACCGTGCCCAGCCAAATGAATTTTAAAATATCACAATTCTTAAAAGTGAAGCGATGTCAATCATGACGATGATAACAGTAATACTTATCTGGCACTAACTCTGTTGCAAGAGCTGTTCCATAAGCCAGTGTTGATATTAGCAACATTTAGCACCCAGGATATGACGCTGAGCAATCAGAACAGATGAGGCTGTAAATTCATTTTGGGTGAATCATGGATATCCTCCAAATATGCACCCTGCAAAGCTAGCACTTGATCTTCCCAAATTATCTTCAACAATTATCTTGGGTTTATCGCTTAGGAAATCTGACATAACGAAATCTTCTTGCTTAATTTTCCATCATATATTTCCCCTTCTCCCTATTTTAAGAAGAAAAAGTCATTTTTTCCCTCCTTCATAACCTTACCGCCCGCACCGACCAGCGGGCATTTTCCATCTGAATGTTCTGCTCCCGGCAATGATTCTTCTTTTGCCCTCCTTCTTGTCTCTCCCTCTTGGGAAACACAAAAGCTACCCTGAGCTACAGGTCACTGGGCATATTCTACAGTCATTTCAAGATTGAAGTTTTACATGTTTTATTTTGGAGGACAGAGGCTTGAATTGCTATGAGATTTTTTTTTTTTTTTTGAGATGGAGTCTCACTCTGTCCCCAGGCTGGAGTGCAGTGGCCCGATCTTGGCTCACTGCAACCTCCGACTCCCTGGCTCAAGGGATTCTCCTGCCTCAGACTCCTGAGTAGCTGGGATTATAGGTATGCGATACCAAGCCCAGCTAATTTTTGTATTTTCAGTAGAGATGGGGTTTCACCATGTTGGCCAGGATGATCTCGATCTCCTGACCTTGTGATCCACCCACCTTGACCTCCCAAAGTGCTGGGATTACAGGCTGAGCCACCGCACCTGGCTGAGGTGTGTTAATTTTCTTTAGTGCTCTATCTGGTGTCCAGTGGAGGAGGTGTCTTGCAGGAGCACGGGAAGTTGTAAAACTGTATTGGCCAGGAGGCAACAGGAGGGGACAAGGAGGGGTTTTCAGTTAAGAGAGGTCTAGACTCCATGGAACAAGAGCATTTCTTAGTAGCAGACACAGCCCAAAGAATCAGGTATACATACACATGGGACAGGGAGGTGTGTGTTTGAATCCAAGGAAGCCACTCAGTGAATGCTGAGGGTCAGACCACACAAAGCAGGCAGGTGAGTGCCCAGGTATAGAAGCAGCAGGTGAGAAAGACACCAAAGGTCCAGGTCCATGAGTGCAGGGAAAGTCAGAGAGGAATCAAACACAGCAACGGTGAAGGATTATGGAAGATACTTGTCCTATTTTGTGTGTATTGTTGGGCTTAAAGTGTTTATGGCAGCTAGAAGAAAGGAAGACACCTGCAGGTGGGCCCCACCCTGGTTCAGGAGGGAAGTCAGCATGAGGAATCCACCCATGGGGTTTTATCCCCACACAGTTGCTTACAAAGTATCTGAATCATATTCTTCTTTCTTTAAATTTCCTACAAGGCTGGGCACAGTGACTCACGCCTGTGATCCTAGCACTTTGGGAGGCCGAGGGGAGAGGATTGCTTGAGACCAGGAGTTTGAAACCATCTGGGCAACGTGCCGAGACTTCTCTACAAAAAGTCAGCCAAGTGGGAACATGTGCCTATAGTCCCAGCTACTTGGGAGGCTGAGACGGGATGATGGTTTGAACCCAAAAGGTTGAGGCTACAGTGAGCTATGATGTTGTCACCGAAGTCCAGCCTGGGTGACA